GTATGTGAGTATGTCAGCCAAACCTTGGACATAAAGACATTCAACTTCCTTCTGAAAAAAGGGAACAATAATTAAAAAAAAATCAGAATGACTGATGTAGGTGAAGACCAAAATAATGTGGGGAAACCCACATCAGTGGATACTTAGGGGACTGTTGCCAGTGTCTTCTTAATGTAGGGTTTCCACTAACAAATTTTCTGGGAAATTATCCAGTGTGTATAGTACATATGAGCATACCTGGTTGAAAAAAAGGCCAGCATATGAAAGGATACTGGTACTAGTAAATCCATGATCGATGTAAATAAATTGATCGATAAAAAGGAGATGGAAACTAATTTCTTTTGTTGCTCCCTGAAGGAAAATAAAAATTATCTAGGCAGCTTGAGCAGTTTTTTACATTCATCTCTTGTATTCCATTATTTAGATGGAAGCATTCAGATCTGTGATGAATCGTGATGGAAAGCCAATGGTTGGAAATTATCGCCCACCTTGTCCCTTACATGAGCGTGCAGTCAAGACTTCTTTTAAGTAAAAGACCCAGCCTAGCTGGGCAGTGTGTCTGAGTGCTAAGAGTATTAATGTAATAATGTAGGAATAGTTTTTGGGAATCCATGACATTCATTAGCACAAATGGGTCAAAGGATGACATTTTCTTTTTTCTTAGCATTCCATGAAATACATATATTATTCTGTAGTGCAGTTAATTTTCATTGAAAAACTCAAATACATAGGCTGTTGTAGGAATTCCAAACTGCATGTTAAACTGTGCTTATTTTTTGTTTTTGGCTTGGACTAGACTAATTTATTAGTGTGAGTGATTTATTTATAGTGCAGGAACAAATAAAGCCATTGTTTGAAATAATTTTTGTCAGTGACTGATTTTCCATGTTTAGTTTTTAACTTGGGAGGGAGGAATGATCTAAAATGCAAAGAAAGAAACATCAACACAAGGGTATTGTTTGATTCAACACCATAGTTGCAGTGCCAAATTGGAAGGAAATGTGTGAAAGATGGTGCAGAGAATTAAAATTTAGATCAAGGGAGTGGAAGAGTACAACCATTAAATCCTTAAATCTGTAACTCCTAAGAGTGACAGGCATCCATTTTCCCCTTACCATATCACAGCCGAATCAAACATTAAGGTCAGGAGAATAAAGGAGCTGATCACCAACAAGAGAAGCTCTTGATTTTTTGACAAATTCTCTGTCAGCATTTTAGGAAATGTTTAGAGAACAGTATGGAGAATATGCATACTGATTTTAGGGTGTAAAGGGTAAAGAGTGACTAGCATCTACTTACCCCATGGTAAGGCTGCTAAATCAAACACTCTGGTCATTAGATTAAAGAAAATGATCACCATTTCAATCTTGAAGTTCTTGACTGTCAAACAAATTCTCCTAGTCAGTACAACAGCAAATGTATAGAGAACATACGCTGAAGTCGGGGTGTGAAGGATTCAGTATCAGACTTGCTTTATGACTTTAACAAGGAAAAGTTACATTGGAACATTAATAAGTATAGTTTTAAACTAAGGTTAGCTCCTACTGATGAGCTTAAATTCTTTAGCCTCCAATTAATCATTCCCTATTTCAATGATGCCCGGAATATGTTTAACGATGACTTAGGTTATCATGTTATAGGTTTTCTTTAAAAATCAGTTAAATCAAAACAAAGATGGCCAAGAATAATGTGAAAAATCCAAAAGGTTTCTTTTTTCTTTGTTGGGAGCTTTGAAAAAATAGGGTGAGCAGAAAATGGAACGTACCCGAAAAAGCCACACCTGTACTTGGCAGTGCCTGTCACAGACTGCTGAAAGCGAGCAACATGGTTCTCGTGACTTTACAGTATCCTGTGCAAACACGGTTATACTTTCCAGCCTCATGGTTTCTTGCTCCGTTACCTACGTTGTCTGTGTACAGCCGCCACCGCCCCCCTCCTCTCCTTCTACTTTCTACCCTTACGTATATTTTCTTTTGAGAGTAGGGGGCAGTTTTACGGCAACTGAAGATCCTCGTCGAGGGTGACCGGAAGTGCGCGAAGCAGCGAGTTCATGTTTATTACGTCGAGAGGTTACTAAGTAATTTCGTCACAGCTCAATATGGCGGACAGCTCTCGAGGTAAAACGTAACTTTGTCGTCTCACTTACCTTTTCTTCAACGGGATAAGGAGCCGAACGCTTTACGAAAATTTATTAACATGGCGTTAGTAAAAAGGGGGGATCAGTTGAGTGTTAGTACGGTGCAACAATCTACCACAGAATCGAAAGGAAAAGGTCATGTCAAAGTACTTGATGAAGAAACTTACGTTCAGGTGAGTGTCTTTAGAAAGGTTTACACCGTCATGTCATTCGTTTGTATTATTGGGAAAAAGCTAAGTACTAATCTGAAATAAAGCCTTGGGCCTAATCTATTTTTTTTGTGATCATTTGCTTTTATCAAAGAACTTTGTGCATCATGAAGTACACTGTATATTGCAGTATGAAAATCTTGCCACTGAGACTTTTTAAGAAAAGGGCCCCCTGATAGTATAATCAGTAGAGTCTATCTGAACATATGACCTATCTCAAAGGGCTTATGCTTGAGACATCGGCTTCGAAATGCTCAACAGTGCTCAATTTGCATTATCAACTCAGTCGATAGTACTAAATTACCCTATTTCAATTTGACACGAAAAGGTTTCCAATCAATTGAGTATGATTTTATGTATATCAGATAGACAAAAAGTTGTTTTTTTCTCTTTACAGTCTTTGAACAAAATCATTCAACGGGACTTCTTCCCTGAGCTTTCAAAACTCAGAGCACAGCATGAGTACCTTGATGCCGTTGAACATAATGACATGGAGAAGTTACGCGAAATTTCAGCCAGATATCAAGTGACACAAACACCAGGTGGTTCTTTGGGTGAGTACAAATGAAAGTACTGAATGCAATTTTTTTTCATGGTAATGCACATTTTGTTGAAGGATCACATGAACTATTTTGGGCTTCAAGATAATTTGGTTTTATCAACTGGGTTGATAATATAAATTGGCCACTGTAAAGATTTTTTAGAGCTGACGTTTTGAGTATTAGCCTGTTCTTAGAGTGGATATTAACCACAACTCCTCTACTTGCTCTTACAAAGGGCAGGTGCTGGAATGGTCAGCTTCAGAAACTCTTTACAGAGCTTATTGTACATTATCAACTCACTCGATAAAAGTAAACTATGTTCTTATACCCCCCACTGATGCAGCACCACATTTTCTTTTGAAACTTACCCCTTTATTTTGAGCCTCCATCACTATATCAGTTAATGTGTGAAACAAAAACAAGGGAGCTCTGATGATCATCTGTCCTGGAAGTAACTGTTGTTTACTAAAAGTGACCTTTGTTTTGAACAATAGAAATTGTAGAAGTCATCCTCAGAGGCAGTTACTTAATATCTGATGATGACTTTTCTTTCATTTTAGAAGTGTCAGGTATACTCTTATCCAAACATTCATTACACAACACAACAGTTGTAATGACTTTTACTATAAGTGGCTGCAGATGTTGTAATAGGTGGTGGTGCCCAGAGAGGGGCTGTAAAGTGAAACCTAATAATGATAGCCTGCTTCAGGCTAAGTAGAGATTGGTTAGAGGTCTTGAAAGTGGTGGTAGACTCTGAAAGTAACATATTATGGCAAAAACAAAACATTGATTTTCATTAGTCCAGATTAACTATTTTACAGTTTGCATGTATTTAAAGGAGGTTGTTTCTTTTTTTACTTTCAGCTACACCGGCTACATTTGACACTCCCAGTACTATTCAAGGAACACCAGCACCCTCAGGTACAATGACATCAGATAACAGCGAGACTAGTGGTGCTCTGACAGGAAATCACTTAGCAGGTGACAAGTCAGAGAGTAAGAAACAGGATTCCGACTTATCACTAGACAAGTTTCTTGTAAAGAACACCAGTGAAGATAATGCTTCCTTTGAACAGATCATGGACACTGCTGCCCAAAAACACAGAGAAAAATATAAGTGGCTATATGAGAAAGAACTAGAACAGAAAGAGATGAGAGAGAAAACTCTTGCTTTACCAGCTCCTGAAAATGGTGATCAATTCAAAAATGAGGAGAGACCATCAATGATTGAGACATGGAATTACACCAACAAAAATGCTCTGATGTATTACCCTGATGGCGTTGAGCTTTCTGTTACTGAGAAAATAGAGGGAAAGTTTACTAAAAGACAGCAAATACAGCATGAAAACAGTAGATTTAAAAGGGATCCATTTCCTAATGATTCTTGTGATAATAAGTTGGCTGCTGCTGCTGAAGCAGCAAGTCGTCTAGCTGCAAAACAAGGCAAAGTTGGAGTAGATGGGCAGATCCAAGGTGCTGGTGAAACTCCACGAGTGAATGGGTATGGTTTTGTTGCCACACCCTCACCTGCTCCAGGTAATTGAATTTTTTTTTTACGGAGGCTTAGCACCTTTTACCAAGGTCATTTATTATATAAAAACAAACAAAAATAAAACACCTGACAAATAATGATTGAGGAAGCAAATGATTAACTCGAGCCAAATCTGACTGAGATTATCATGTCTTATCATGGTTTGGTATAACAGCAAGCAAGTAAGTATGTGATAAAAAGTTTTTTTAAAGGCAAAAATTAGAATATTACACATTATAGACAAGTTTTTGAGTTATTGGAGAGTGAAGATGGAGTGGAGAGAATTTTTGACTGGTTGACACAGGTAAAGTATGTTTCCTGTAACCAGAAATGACTCTGTATAGTACTTACACAAAACAACAGCCTACAAGCTGAGCTATTTTTTTTCAGTTCTGGAAAATTTTAGGGGGTTTGTCTTATTGCCAAAAGTTTTTGAAAAATGTATCCCTTGAATCATCAAAATTGAAAATTTTCACAAAGTTTCTTAATTGGCCTATAGTCAACTCATTTTCATAAAATGATAAACACCTGTTCTAAATGAAAACAGAAAATGCTGTATTTGTGTCTCTTGTTTTATTAAGAGAACAATTCTTGTGCATAAGAATTCCAGAATACTTTGATGGTACTTTGGTTTCATGCAGGTGTAGATGCATCACCGCTAATGACTTGGGGCAGCATTGAAGGAACTCCTTTCCGATTGGATGGAGGTGATACACCAATAACTGCCACCCCTGGCCCAACCTTTAAAATGCCAGAACCTAAAAAAAGGGACCAGTTAGGACTGGCCCTGGCTGACAAAGTCAACAGAAAACATCGTCAGAAAAGAAGAGATGCTTTAGCCAGGGCAACAGCATTGATTGGCAGGTGGGGAGATGATGTAGTGAATGGTAAAAAAAGCTAAACAATTTAAGACAGAATATTATTCCTGACAGGGCCATGCAGTGGTATAATTTTCTCATTTTGCTTTAAAAATTTACAAACCATTTTTTTTTCTATGTTGTTGATTTATTATCATTATCCTCCTTTACTCTTTAACATATTCTCTATACTGTTTTGCATACCTTTCCTAAGGTGCTTTTGTGGAGAATTTGTTTAACAATCAAGAGCCTTTTAGATGGTGATCTTGTCCTTTTATTCTTGTGATCTTAATGTTTGATATAGGGTTTATATTGTAAGGAGAAATTAGATGCTAGTCACTCTTAAGAGTTATAGGCCTATGGAGGTGAACTGAAACAAGAGCTGTGCACTCCTGTTACTAAACGTTTTAAACTTTGTTATGCAGGAGTCCAAAACATATGAACACTGTGGATCGCTTAGGGCAAATGTCACCTGCTGCACAAAGGCTGGCCTCACAAAGACTTGGAATCAGAACAGGAACTGACAAATCATTACGTGCAAGTTATACACCATCGCCATCATATCCACGATCAGCCAACTCTACCCCTGTTCATGTTCAGCAGTCCACCCCTGCAACACCAAAGGATCACAGTTCCACACCAACACAGAGTGCATCACTTACAGACAACCTCCTCAAGTTGCCAAAGCACTGACTTCTTCAGTGCCTTATGTACCATATCGTCCCTTTACACACTTACATCAGTATGCATATCCTCCATACTGTTCTCTTTGGATTCCTCATGGTACTTACAAAGAGAATGTAACAATCATGAGCTTCTTGAATTGGCTGCTGTTTCTTTTATTCTCATTATACTGTTGGGAGAAATCAGATGCTGATCACTCGTAGGGTGTAAAGGGTTTATGACAGCCTGTTGTCAACAATACCAAGTGACAGTTCAAAGATTGTGAAATGTTTTGAACAGAGAATTCTAACCAGGTTTACTAGACTCCTGGGAATTTGTTACATTGCTGCTTTTGCTTGGCCTCTCAACACACTTACCTCATTAGGAAAGCAAATATAGGAGCCTTGCCTTTTTCATGGGTGAGATGATGGATTGAAGAAAATTAAAGAATTATTGCAAGCTAGAAGCATTAATGCAAACTACCTTACCTTAGTTATGAGAAAGAAGCCCAAAGTATTTATAAAATGAACATCAGAGGAATACAATTGAAGGCACTTTGACTGTTTGTTTGTATTTGTAAAATATTTGTTGTGTCCATGTCTATTGTGTAGTCATCCAAATTTGGCAAAACCCACAAAAAATGTTGTTTCCCCTCCTCCTATTCCCTTCTTCAAATCTAAGGTATTATTTACAACTAAAATGCAAACTTTTGACATATTGTATTGAACAGCCAACAATAACTGGAAAATGTGATGGTTTGACCTCAACCCAAGTTTTTTTAATGCCTGTAACCATGGTTGTGGTCTTATTCTCATCTGTATTGTTGAAGTACTTTAAATACAGAGTCCTCTTGCCCTGAAACTCTCAAGATTTTAACATCAATACTGTGTACTGTCTGGAGCCTTCAAGAGGCTAATTTTGAAGTGAATTGTATTGTGTAATTGATTCTCCTTCTTCTCAAAAGCTTTCCGTTTGAACATGTGTTGCTATTGTTTGGGAAAATTCATTTATGGTCACTCAAGAGAGTAAAAAGCATTAGTAGACAGAGTCCATATAAGCCGAGTGCTTAATATGCAGCCTAAGGTTACCTTTCCAAGAACTTCCTGTCAACTTTAACCCCTTTCTACAAACAATAACATAGTACTAAGAAAGTTCCCCAGACAGATAGCATTCCATTGCAACACAATTGATTATCAGATAGCCAGTAGCCAATGTATTCCATTGAGGTTTTAGGGAAACCAACTCAATTTTGCCAGTCGTGGTCTTCACTTTGGTGCATGCACTGGTCAACTTAATTAACTGATATGGAGAATTGATAGGCAGTTCATAGTTAAGTTTTAAGTTCTTCTTTTACTTTCATCACTTCAAAAGATCATCAACGTAGACATGAATGATTGAAGATATCCAGAATAGATAAAAGTCTCGTAATAACAAAAAAAATTACTGTCTCGCCCCCCACCAAAAAGAAAAATAACACGAACAGAGATCAATCGCTATGCACAGCTAAATTATAAATAATTCTCCTTGCAACAATAGTAGAAAGTTTCAGAATATGTGTACTAAACATCACACCAATCACAACATTTCATGGCACTTCACTTTTATTAACTCACAAATAACTATTTTTGATGTAGCTGATATATATATATATATATATATATATACACATAAAAGACTTCATGTTGCTGTGGATTTGTACAGTTCTAGCACACAAAAGGTCTCACAGTGTTGAAAGAACATCAGGGACACAGTTATGTCACTCTTAAGCTTAGTCACCATTTTGACATCAAGTACAATGTATTGTTAAACAAATGCACAACAATATGGAATCCATAAGATAATTATGTTGCTGATTTTGCAACTCTATTACTTAGCAATATCCTTATTTTTACATTTCTACAAAGATATATTTCTATCACATTGTTAAAATAGAAATTGACCTATCTACAAAACTATATACTCAGGCTAGAGGGAAAAAAAGAGTAGACCCTTTGAGGGCTTTTCTTAAGGCACAGTTGGAATCTTTTCAAGACATTACTGTTTTAACAGCCTTGAGAATCTCCTGAGTTTGAATTGTTCTCTAATATTTAGCTAGATGGGATGAGCCGATATACTGAAGAGATCAAAGTGCATTTCCACTTAAGGCTTTGTTCTATGCAACCCTTCCTTTAAAATTGTGCTTGAAAAATTCTAAATATACACTAAGAAATGGTGTAATTAAATATACACTAGATATAGACTAAAAAAATTCTAAAAATACACTAAAGCAATTTCCTTCTAAGCCAAAAATGTGGTGGGTAAATTCACTAAAGCAATTTCCTTCTAAGCAAATATGAGCTTCTAAGGCATCATCTGCATCGATTCATACCATGTGCCATGCTTTTATCATCAACCCTTAACACCCTAACATCAGTATGGATATTCTCCATAGTGTACTCCACACATTTCCTTATTGTGCTGACAGGGAGAATTTGTTCAAAAATCAAGAGCCTCTTCAGTTTACATCATCTCCTTTACTCTTATGAACTTAATGTTTGATCCAGGGGTGTTTTTATTGTTAGGAGAAATTAGATGCTAGTCACTCTTAGGGGCCAAGGGTTAACACTAACTAATTTTTTTTTATTATTTTTAATTTTTTAACAATCATCCTAACTGAACTTCCTTGCAACAAAAGGCTGCTACTTGAACATTCACCACTGATACAGCACAACAAAAAGTTTCTACACAAACTACTTACTTTAGTACCTTACTGCTATCTTTTAACGAGAGCTTACAAAAACAAAAATAAAAACTTCTCAAGACAACTAATTGCCAAAGTTCTTGTTTAAAATGATTCCTCATATGTCCTGCAAAAATAGACAAAATACCTGAATCAGATTTGCAAATACATCAACTTTGGCTCATCTGACTAAAAAGTGATAAACAGAAGGAAAGATGCCTAGAGGAGCAAGTTTACCTTAGTGTTCCATGGGCACTCCGGACATAAATTCCTGGATGACTGGCCGCTGCAGCAAACTACGTGCAGTTGGCCGCTCTTCTGGGTTCTCCTGAAAAGACAATGATGGTGAAATGTATTTCAATTCTTTGTGTTAATAGTGCAGATAAGCTTACTGCTACATGTAAGAAAAAAACAAAAGATATTGTAGAGAGAGGTGAAAGAAAATGAAGAGATCCATAAGAAAGAAGAACTTCATCCTGAGAGAGGACCATACATTCCCTAAGGAGGTGCCAAAAAGGAGAATTTGTGTAACAATCAACAGCTTTTTTTTTTTTTTCTTTCCCAGTTGGTGATCATTTCCTTTACTCTCATGACCTTGATGTGTGATTCAAGAGTGGTATTGTAAGGAGAAATTAGATGCTAGTCACTCTTTGGGGTTAAAGGGTTAATCATTCGATTCACACTCTCAAATCACTAGTAATTGTCAAGTTGAGCAATGAATTGAAGTTCACAATGTTTTGACTACTATATTGCTGGCCTGCGAAAGACATGAAGGTTGAATGATTACACCTCCATATTCATTAATATATAAAGAGGAATGATAAGTTCATAATGTCTCATTACTCAGCCTCATTCCCAGATCCAGACTGTTATAGTTATGCTAAAATGTTGCAATTATCAATCAAAATTATTTGAAATATGAATAGAGAGTAAGTTATCTCAGACTTACCTTTGTACAGTCAAATACCAACTGTCCAAGTTCTTGATTAACCTGTCTTAGATTGTTGATCTGTCCCCAAAGAAAAAAAAAAAGTTTATTTGGTAAGAGACAGTGAAAGTTGAACAAAGCTTTAAGAGCTACATCATATATAATGCAGGAACCAGTAACTAAACACGAGTGCCTCCCTACTGTCCACAATTCCAAAAAATACATTCAAAGGTGTAATCTAGGGAATGCAATGGCAAACTTGAGCTTTCAAAAAAATAGTTTTTACCACTTTAGGAGAACAAAAAAAACAAAACAAAACAAAAAAAAAACCAATTCCAAATGTCCCTTTCTCCTTAACAGTATCAAAGCTGAAAGCCTCCTTGATGATCAGAGCAAACTGTTATACAAAAAACTCTCCAAGCTTTCCCAAATACTATAGCTCACTGATCATTAAAGCTTACCTGTTCCTGCAAGGATTCTTTGGATGGAACTCCCACTATCAGTTCAATAAGAAAACATCCCAAAGTGTAGATATCAGTTGGCCTGCCATGAGGTTTCTGTCTCAAAACCTTCAGAATTACAACAAATGTCACTCACTTTTTGTTGCACTTAAAGTAACAAAAAATAATTATTGGCACCACAGGACCCCATTAATCTTTGTTTTCCCTTGTTTTATTTAGCAGCAGGGTCTTTCAGTTCATTTGTGCGTGATGACTATGAAATGAAAATTTTTATTCTGTATAGCAGTCACACATTCTCCAAACTGAACCCGTTTTTGAATGAAATGGAAAAATGAAACGGCTTGTTTGCTTTAACAGGGCCTTTGAAACACACTTTGTTCATGAATAAAGTAAAATTATCCAAATGCTTTGAAGCAAACAAAGATCTTGTCCATTTTTATCACCTTGGATCTTAATCTAGTTCTGGTTTACCCATCAACAGTTGAGAGAGCTGAGAAAATGGACTCACTTGACTCACTCAAAAATAAATAATCAATCAAAGAAAGGAAAAAAGTCTTCCAAACTTTTTCTTGAACAAATTCATTTTAATCAATCATTATCTTGAATACCACATCTCACCTCAGGAGAAACAAAGCCCCTTGTTCCAAGGGGTTTCAGACCAGCTTCAGTGAGTTCATGATGCAACCTCCTTGCCGCGTCAAAATCAGCCAGTTTGGCCCGTGAACCTTCTACGGCCAACAGTACATTTTTGGCTGAAAAGAAAGATCACAATTCATACGACATTAATTTCAGTATCATAACATGCTGATACATTTCTGGCGCTATCACTGATGCCTGTCTTGTTTCCATCAAAACATCATTAAAAAGCTAGTTACTTCTTTGACCTGTACTGTAAAGTTACTTTAAGACATGGAGTTTCTGACAGAAATGAAGTTTTACTCTATTGTTGTCTCAGCGTTCTTACCTTTGATGTCTTTATGAATTATTGGAACTTCCAAGTTGTGCAAGTAATCAACTGCAGCAAGGATCTGAAGCCAGTAATACATGGCTTCCCCACATGTCAATCGTCTCTTCAATATTGACTCCATGTAGTCGAAAAGAGATTGTTCTGCAGAAAGAGGCAAAAACAGTTGTGTTAACTTTAAACTCCAAGACAGAATTTCTCCTTCCAACATAAAGCAAAAAAGTGATCAGAATAAAGGAAAATATCAATTGGGGGATTATTAGTTGATCCAATAAATTCTTAAAAGTAACATCATCAAGAATTGTATGGCAGACAGTGAGGACAATTATGATGAGATCTTGGGACAGAATGAATTGAACATCAAAAAAAGTAAAGCCTTATCAATATACTAATATGCAAGTTACATTGGTATGAAAATGAAGGACTTTCTAGTAACATACCACACTTTTCCATGAAGATATTGGCACATCCCCGACTGTCCCTTATTGTTCCTACATAGTGAGGGACAATATGTGGATGATCACCTAACATCTTGTACACTTCTACTTCCTCCCTACTAATGGAGTAACTTGTCTGACAACAAAAGAAGAAAACAAATCAGCAAATTAATAAAATGTTCTTCAAGGCCTCAAAATTAGAACCCAAGGGGTTACAGAAGTCCTACTGGCACTTGTTCTCTTTCAGTGAAGTCTGGGAGAGTTAACCCTCTCTTAGA